CACACGGGGGAGGCAGGGGCGCGGCGCCTCGGGAAGGCCGGAAACGCGTCCGCCTCTGGCTGCAACACGCCTCTGACCCTGCGTGACCAGCAGTACGCGATGGGGGCCAGTGTAGGGGAGGAGCTGGGTGCACCAGGGCCTGGGGGTTCTGCACATGCCGTCATCCTGCCCAACGGGGTCTCCTCCAGGGGCTGAGGCCACGGAGACAAGCAGAGCGTGGCGGTCACCCCTGGGTGGGCTCCTGGCTCCCTGTCCTGGGTGGGGGTCGGCCAAGCTGTCACTGTACAGTCATTCTTTACACTTAAAGAATACATTTGAGGCACAGTTCAGCATGTACCATATATCCCACAACTTAAAAATAAAAATACATGAAAAAAAGATATAAATAGACATCCACGTAATTTATTTAGGGCCCTCAGCCCTGTGGCTGCCTCTCGCCCCTGGCCGTCCTTGGGGAGGGGCCGGGAGCCTCCTGTTCTGCCTGAGCCTGAGGCTCTGCCAGGTGACTCAGTGTCCTGCGGGCAGGGCCGGGCCCTAGAGACCCGATCCCTATGCCTGGACTCTGAGTCTGCAGCTATAAGTGACCATGACTAAGTGCGGGTCCCTGAGTCACCCTGGCTTGGGGGAGAGTGGCCTCGGGGGCGAGGGGTGGGAGGTGTTGGCGGCCCTGGAGGGTTTCAAGGACCTCTGTGTGGGGTAGGCAGTGGTCGGGGGTAGGGAACGTTTGGTCCCAGGCCAGCAGCGAGACGTCAGGCACCCCTGATATCTGGCCAGGTCAGCATATCCCAGGCCGTGACTCGGGAGCGGTCGCATCTGCCTGGCTCCAGCTGGTTCAGATTTCGGGGTGTCCAACAGTGTTTCATTCCTTGCATCTCAAACTAGTGTCGCAAACCACTAGGCCACGTCACAGACAGCCTGACCAGCAGGGAGTTCACAGGGAAACCCTCTCTGTCTTGGGGTGTGCATCTTGACTCTCTTTGGGTACAAGGCGTGTCCCACCATGCCACCCCCACCACCAGGTGTCCCAGGCTGGCCTGAGCAGAGGAGCCCAGGCCTCTGCTGGGTCGAGGGCCGAGGGGAAGGACGGGCAGGACAGAGGCTGATGTGGCCATGGGAACGGGAAAGGCCCCTTCCAGGCGGGGAGCCCCTGGGGGGGGAGGCGGGGGACAGCTCTCCGGCCTGCAAAGGCCCCCACCCTGGGAAGCAGAGAGGTGCGCGATTGACACTGGTGTCCGGTCTGTGTGTGGAGTCACGGACCCCCACCCGGGGCCTCTCTCGGTCGGAGCAGATGAAGAGTCAGGACCGGGTCCTTCCCCACTCGCCGGCCTTTGGAGCAGAAGAGGCTGCGTCAAGAGGTCAGGGCCAGGGGTCCCCGAATCTGGACGCCTGTCCACGCCCCTGGCTAAAGTCCATGGCAGATGCACCTGAGGGTGCTGGCTCCTCCTGGGACACCCTGGGTCCTGGCAGAGGCCCGATGGCCTCGCCTTCTACAAGCTCTAGGAGAGAGCAATCTGGACGTGATGGGGGAGGCAGCCCAGAGGTCCCGCGGGCGGCAGAGCTGGGCTGGAGCCACAGGCAGCGAGGCTCTGCACTCCACTGAGCAGCCGCAGAATTAGGGGAGGGGGAGACGGTGGAGTCCCTGGGCTCTGCGGGGTGTCAGTGTGGCTGTGGCTTCTCGTAAAACGTTTGGCTGCTGGGTGGCCGAGCTGGTCTAACAGAGCCTTTGACAAGGAGGCCAGGGGAAGGGGGTTGGGAGAAACCCTTCGTGCTGGGCTGGGGTCGCTGGGCATCTCACTCACCTGCAGTGTGAGCTGACCACGTCTTATGCCGACGGCCAGGCCCTCTGCCCGCGCCCCCGCCACCTGCCGGCACACCAGAGCTGAGCACGGGTCTCAGAGCTGTGACCCCACGCGGGGTCCAGGGAGGGAGACTGAGGAAAAAAGCAGCGAGCACGTCTCTGATGGCCCTCGTGAGAGGGAGGGGCAGCCCCGACCACAGGAGGTGACCCAGAAGCCATCTGAGCCTGGGGCCCATGGCACGGCCCCCACCAGCTGCCTGCTCTGCAGGTCTGCACCTGGCAGGGACGTCCCGAGGCCAGGGCTGGGTCAGAGTGTCAGAGTGTGCATGAGGGGACCGCGCTGTTCCCAGGGGCAGGGACAGCAGGCCCCTGAGACCCGACACGCCCCCTAACACAGCCCCCCGCACACAGGGCCCCACGTCTGGCTGCTCAGAGCAGGCTCTTCCTGCCCCTCTTCATCCCGGGGTGCGGCCCTGAGACCCCACCTTGGTTCCGACGCCGTCCACATCGTCCCCGAGACTGTGTGACCACACGGTGCAGCCCCCACGTGCCTCAGCCCCCCGCTCCGCCCCGCCGTGCCCCCAGTGCTGTGACGCGGCTGACGCGGAGGGCCGGCCGGGACGAAGCACCCGCCTCCTGGTGCCCTTGTCTTTTCCGAGCTTGAAGGGAGGTCCGGGAGCTGCGGACGGGCCTCCCCGTGCCCCCAGGCTGCTCGTTCAAGGGAGCCTTCTGCCTGAGTCACACCTCAGAGCAGGCCAGGGCCCTTCCTCCCGGTCAGGCAGGTCCCACGGCCAGGCATGTGCTTTGGAGCCAGACATTCCTGGTCCCCCAGCCTGGCCCTCACCGCCTGCCGGGCGCTCCGCACAGGCGATAGCCCGAGTCTGTTATCTCGTCTGTAAAATGTAGGTAAACGTATCTCGGTGCCGTGTGAGGGGACACGTGACAGCGGCCTGAAAGGGTGCCCGACGCTTAGCGCTCACTCAAGAAGCGGGAGCGATTGCGGCCATGCCTTGCCTCCCTTTAAAGCCCCGCTCCAACCCTGCCCACTCCAGGAAGTCCTCCGGGGTTGGCACCCCCCGATGCTCCCATTCTCCTTCCAGCCCTGGAGCGGGTCCCCCAGAGGGGCTTTGCTGTGAGTTCTGATAGGTAGTAAAAAGGGAAAG